CAAGAATATGGAGAAACAGTCAGCTGAGAGTATGAAGAATGAGTCAGACTACAAAGCGTGGCACAATAAAAAGGAAAGCTAAGAAAAGTGAGATGGTATATAGTATTACTAACCCTACATGTAAATTCATATCTACATGTAGGTACCACCGAATAAAGAAACCTAAAATAGAAAAAGGAAAGGAAGGTGAAGGTACATAATGCATTAAAAAGGTAATTTATTATAAAAACACAAAACAGAAATGCACAGTTAATATTGTTGCTGTTGGTTGTGCTACAAATAATGAATCTGCTGCAAATAATGAAGCAACAAGCTTCAACACTGGAGATCCTTCTAAGCATATTAGTATCGGTAAGATTAAATATAATAATAATTATTACTATTGTTTTACTTGTTATTATTAGAAGCAAGAAAACCTTCAGAGAGAAAAGAGGCAGATTCCAGTGAAAGAATTCTTTGTCATAGCCCTCCACCACTTCCACCACCACTTGGACTGGTGGAGCTTAAAACTCAAGCTGCATGTAGTACTGAAACAGGTGAATTGTTTTACAAGTACCTGTACAAATTTAGTAACATTAATAACATATTACTTGATTATCACAAACAATTAATGTTGTTTTGTTTAGAGGTTATATACTGTCTCTAATTAGAAGAATGGAAATTTTAGAAGAACAGAGTATCATGGTGCCATCCCAATTGGGTTGCTTAACATACCATTTCTTTGGAAATACTAGCATGAATACAAGGGTTAGTATTGAGTAATAAATATTAGAGATTAGTAATATCCTATTAATATTCTAGGCAGGTACTCTGCTACATACATGAACAGTAATGGAAGTACTCCTAGTGCCCCATCTGCTTGTAATCTACCTCAGCATACTGATCCAGTAACTCCAACTAATGAGCCAGTAAAGGCAATCATCACCAATACTACTGTGCACACTGGTAATAGAAGGAAAATAGATTTTAATGCTCCTTTGTTGAATCCTGATACTGTAATTAATAAATATCCCAAACTAAAGACACTCTCTCAAGTTGGACAATCATCTGTAAGACTAGCCAGCAAAGTTTACTTTGGACCATCACTTTTGATTAAACGTAGTGTGTATAGCAGAAGGAGAACCCTCCTTTGCCATCTGGTTCTCTAATGGAGCTGAAGCAGAAGCTACTGGGATTATTCCATCCACGTGATATTAGTACAAAGGAAGAATTTTAGCTGTATTGGTCTAAGTGTATTCAAGCAATAAATCATTACTCTTCAGGGCTTAGAAGCAAATATCCACCTGATATTAAGAATCTAGAGTAGAAGGCTACACTGAGTATAGTATCATATAAGATAATAAATAGTCTAACACAGTGACACTGTTGATATACATGTATATATATTATCAAGAGTACATAATCTACAGAGAGTGTCTAACCATACTATAATAGCTGAAACATCACCGCGTAGCCTTTTCTTGTGTATCTTTGGGTATTCCCGCATACTGGGTGTGGCTGAGTAGGAAAAAATGGCTGCCAAGTTTGCTCAACAAGGTTTACTGGCTGTTTTGGTGCCTCTGCTATAGCAGTACTGCATATCAGACTTCAGCAGCATTATAAAGTGTACTAGTATGATGTCTAAAGCTTCTTCAAGTTTTCTCCACTGTTTTTTTATGTTAACTTCTACACGTGTTTTTTAGTAAGTACACCCACGCTTCTGGTCTCACGTGACTTAGTTCTACGCGGTCATGTTTCAGCTACTATATGTGCGGTTAGACACTCTCTGTAAATTATGTACTCTTGATATTATATATTAGATATAATGATATAAAGATGCAAAAGATATACAATGAATAAAAGATATACTTTGCTTTTAATTATTATAATACATGTGGGAGGGAGAAGGATTGGGAGGGGTATAGAAGAGAGTTATAAGTGCATGCAATCTGTAATGTACAAGTCTGTTAGCATAGATTACATGTATGTGATGTTACATTTATAAGGAAAGAGGAAGATCGATAGAGCTACTGTGTACATGTACAAATATTAATATCCAGTGGGACCTCCATTATTGCATTCAATCACTTTCGATATTACTTTACGTAAGTGTCCGATATATTTTCTACACTTTCTTCTATTTACAGTTTCCCAACAATCCATGATTCCTTTGACTAATTCCTCCTTTCGTTGTGGTTGCACTACTCTCCTGACATATTCTTTGAGCTCGTGCCATAGATTTTCAATCGGATTAAGATCTGGGGATTCTGGTGGTGTTTTCCACCAGTTTATTTTGTTGGCTTCTAACCACTCCTTTACTTTCTTTGAGGAATGTTTGGGATCATTATCCTGCATCAATCTTTGAGATGGATTTAAATGCTGGGTATAAGGAATCAGTTCATTTTCCAAAACTTCAATAAAGCCAGCTGAATTCATTTTTTCTTCAAACAGCAAAATTGGCGTCTTTCCTTGGCAACTTATACCTGCCCATGCATGTACCTTATAGGGTTGTTTTTCTCTATATAATAGGTTTTTAAAAAATACCATTAACGTACATGTAATATTAATATAGTGCTACCTTGGTTTTGGTTTCGGGGGCACCTATTTTCCTTCATGAAAATCTCCTGTGGGATTCGAATTCAATTGTACACTCATCACTGTACA